ACTCCTTGGCTCATCGCTCCTCCCCCGCCGAGCTCCCTTCCCACCCCCAACCTGGTAATGAAAATCCTCCTGTGACCTGCTTTTTTAAAAACAAACAAACAATCAAACAAAAAAAGAAAACCCACATTATTCCTGATTTTCTTCTGTTCCTGTTTCTCTGCAGAACGACCCAGTCTCGGTCCTTGATCACGTACTGGCGCGCGTGTGCCCTGGGAAACCCTAGCAGGAAAGCTAGTCTGCTGTGACCTGGCAGGGAGCGGAATGAAAAGCCACCTCGGGCATGGGGGGAGCTCCGTGCCCCGCTTGGAAACTGCCTCCAGTTAGCTCACTCAGGAATTTCCCAGAACTTCTGAAAACGCTCTGCCACCCCAGCAGGTTCTATTACCACGGTCAAGGGTGATTTAAAAGCTGCCCTGCCGCTTAGGAGCGAGGCATGGGGGTGGGCTGGGGTGGAAACAAAAGTCGGAAGGAAGAAGCGGCAGCGCGCTGGACAGCACACGGCCCTGGAGGGGGGCAGCTTTGTTGTTCAGATCCCAGCCGGGCCGTGACTGTGGGCCCACTGGGCCTCTGCCCCCTGGCCCGTGAGCAGACGTGATCACACCACCGACAAGGCGAGGAGGTGGTGAGAAGTGGAGGGGGTGCGCCTGATGTGCCTGGCGCACAGTAGGCCTCGGGCCTCGTGAGCCTCTCGAGATGGAGGCCGATGGATTTCACAGAAAGTCTGCCTCAGGTCGCGCAGGGGGAGGTGAGGAGAGGAGACTGCCTTGCCCTTCTTAAGAAGACACTTAGCAGTGTAAGTTTCTGAGATCTACAAGACACAAGGCAGCTATTTCTGAGAGATGGAGCCCGGGCCAGGATGGGCTGGATACCATCCCTGGAGGGGGCACCTCGGGGCAGTTCCTTGAGAATTCGCGGTGGCTTTTCCCTTCTCCGAGGAGACGGTTATAAATACCAAGCATCAACACCACAGCTGCTTCTGAGACTGAGTCTTCCCCACCCCCCACCCCCACCCCCACCCCCCCACCCCCCACCCCCCCCCCCCCCCCCCCGCTGTCACGGTCAGACCTCATTATTTTTCATAATAGTTCTTAAACAACTGGTTTTAGCTCTTGAGGCATTTGTGATGACAACGGGAGGAACAAAACTGGGGAGCCCATCCCTCCCGCCCACCCTCGCTCTTCACCCACACTCCTTTCCTAGCAACAGCTCTTTTTTCAACTCTTGGGGCCCACGACTTCCGTCCCACCTACACCAGCAGCAGCAAAATATGGGGGTGAGAAGGCTGGGGGGTGGGGGTGAGGTGCACGAGGAGGAGGGAGGGGGGCAGAGCTTCAGGGAGGAGGCTGATGAAGCACAAAAGGTTCTGACCTCCTTGGAAGAAGAGGAAGCCGCAAGGGCCAGGTCCAAGCTGGCTTAGCTTGGGAGGCTGCCAAGGAACTGGAGCAGAGAAGTGCCAGGTTAGAAGGGCAGGCAGCAAAGTGGCAGGGAGGTGGGCTGGGCTGGAGGCAAACGGAATAGTGCAGTTAGGGCAGGGTTGTCAGCTGTGGGGAAACTGTCCATAGAGTCCATTACTATGCAGTGTCACCCTTTGCCACCCTGGGCAGACTGGTACCGTGTGAAAATGAGCCTTGCATGGTCAGGGAACAGCAGAACCTGGGTCTTAGGACTTCAAGGTAGAAGGGGTCCTGTTTCTCAACCTGGGCAGCATCTGAGAATCAGCTTCGAAAGCCTTGTCCCGTTCCAAGGCGATTATTTACCGTGGGTGTGACCTGTATCCATCGGTAATTTTTGTAAGTTGGGTGGGTGACTCTAGGGCCTCCCCGGTGGCGCATCAGGTTGAGCGCAGCGCTGTGGGGCTGTCCGCGGCCTCTGCAGCGCGGGTTCGATTCCCTGCCGGCTAGGGAGCAGCCCACATGGCGGGGCAGACCTCTCCTGCCTCGCCCGCTGCTCCCCTTGGCAGTGTCTTCGGTCCGTCTGCCTGTTCTGCTCCCTGCTCTGTCTCTGGTGAGGTCTCTCGCCCTCCCACACCTCTGGCCTGTACCCCAGCTCTTGAATAAATAAATCTTTAAAAAAAAAAAAAAGTTGGGTAGGTGACTCTAATGGCAGCCAGCATGGAGAACCACTCACGTCCTGCCCTACCTCGTCCTCCTCAGTGGATCCAGGATTTGATCTCACTTTGAAGCCAATGACTATACCCATCTTTAATTTTAAAAAACTTTTAGTTCCCTGTGATGATATGTCTGCAGCCCTCTCAGAGAGCTTCAGGAGACACAACAGCCCCCTTACCCTCCCCTGCCTCCCCTCCCCACTCTTCCCCCAGGGAGGGGAGAATTTACACTATTCCCTTTCCAGGGTTTAATTTTTTTTTTTTTTAATCTCGCAAATCTGCCTTTAAAAGATGTAAGAAGTTGGGACAAATAACCTGCTTTCTCTCCTTCCTTCTCCAGGTTCCTTCAGACACTCTGATCGATGTCGCTTTAAAGCAAATGTTATGAACAATTCTTGGAGGGGAGAAGGGCAGATGACAACCATCCAGTCATGTAAGAGGGGGTGGGTTGGCTGGGTGGCCCTTTGCTCGGGGGTGGCGGTGCAGGAACATGGGCTGGGTTCAAGGGCAGGGGCCTCAGGCTGCTTAGTCGTACCAGCTGGTGGAGTGTCCCCTGCTCTCCTGCGGCTGCTCCCTGAGTCACTGCCCAGCTGCCAGCCCATTCTTTGTTCCCCCCCGAGCTGCCCACCCCCCCTCACCAGTTCTGCCCGCCCTGGCCCATCAGCACGCAGGCTGTAATTTGGGAATGTCATAGTCGAATGACGTGCCCACGTGAGGTCCAGAGCGGGGAGGTGACCCCGCCAGGGTCGCATGGTGGTGAAGTGAAGCCACGACGCCCTTTTGGTTCTCTTTCCACAGCCTCCGTCCCTCTCCCCATTTAGGCTGGGCCGACCCAACGGCAAGCACTTTGATGATGGGTCCGTGACTGGGTTGCATTCTCAGAGGGGCCGCAGATTCCCTTCCGTTCCAGACCTGGGCTGCACCAGAGGCCCGACAAAGGGCACAGCAGGATGGAGGCCTCGGACACTCCAGGCCTGCGACGTGGGTGAGCCATCCTGGCTGCTGTTCATGGCTTCAGCCAGTTTCAAGCTGGCAGCGTCCTTTTCAGAAAGAATCCTAAACAGGGGAGTGCCCCTTTATTGCCAAGACTCCTCTGTTCTTCCTCTGACAAGTGACTGGCCCCACTCCCAGCTGCCAGCCTTGCCCATGCCCATTCTAGTGACTGGCTAGGAACCATCTGAGGGAGAGAAGGTGCCTTTGAGTCCTGAGCTCACGCGGCAGTTGTCTGTCCCTGGTGAGCCCCTTCTCAGTTCGGAAGATCGAGGTGTAGAACAATTGGGCACCTGGGTAGTGCACTCTGCTCCCCAGGATGGGCACCTTGTACTTTATCGAGAATGTGTGGTGGCCACGTCCCTCATCTAAAGCCTCCTTCTTCCTGCAGTGCTGGAGACGCCTGGTCCTGGGCGTGCTGCACGGAGGGTACACGTGCTCCCAGAGAACGGAAGGTCACTCCAGGATTCAGGTCCTTGTGAATTGTGGCTGTTTTTGTCTAAAGATGAATGCCATTTAATGAGCTGGGGGCTGTTTCTCGTACATGGGTGTTGTTTATTACATGCTGTTGCTACTTGGCTAGAGAATCTGGCAATTGCCTAATTTTTGGTGCTTAGTTAAGTCAAAAGTCAGATTTACTCTCCCCTGTCATTTATGGAACCCCAGCTTTGAAGTGTGAGAGTGTGACAAGCCAGTTAGCCGCGGGTCCATTTTATCATACAGTGACCATGTGAAATGTCATCCTTTCTCCTCCTGTCTTCACAGAGAGACGACGAATGGATCGTGGCCGAAACATCAAACTAGTTTACCTTCGGAGGGTAAATTCCACCATCGACTTTCTTTTTGTAGAACAGTTTAGCCGAATCGTTTCAAGGGGATGCAGTGTAAAATCTACAATTTTAATCTTAAAATCCTTTTCAGGTATAAATGTTCTGTAATAGCAAGTAAGAGGTTGGTTTTAAAAAAAATCTTTCAAAATGCAAACTGAGTTGTCAAGTTCTCATGCCTTATAGTCACTACTGCCGTTTCTGGAAATCGGAGGCTCTGAATTTCACATGCTCAATGTTGGGGCAGAACAGATAATATTCTGCCTCTATAACCCATTCCTCGGCCCTCAACTCAAAATGCAGCACTGAAGAGGAATTTGATACTCAATAAATATTATCCTGTCACTCTTCTGTTCCAGAAGTTTATTATTTAAGGTACCGCACTTGAAGTGTCTTACACCCAGTGTCGCTACAGACATAATGAACTAAGTGCCAGGGGACCCTTTGAACGATGCTGGTACTAAAGAGCAATATTCCCTGTCAGCGCTGTCCTGCCCTTTGCTGACACTGCTGTGCAAACCTAGATGAGTCCTTCTTTGCATGTAGAACTGGTCCCCGACCAGTCTCATCATTCTTCAAGGACCGGATGCATGGCCTATCCAAATTTTAGTGATTTTTTTTTTTATGACAAGATGATAGGGAACTGGATGAGCAGAAACGCATCAGACCATTTTAGTTTGCCGACCCACACCCTAAATATCCAGGATGTTGTTTATATTGCACACACGCACACAGAGATCGTGTCAAGTGCAAAATGAAAATGAAAAAAGCAGGTTTTTTCCAATACTTTTTATTTGAGTTGAAACCATTCATACCTTGCACAACTGTACAGATAAAACTATTTCCATTTTAGCTGTAGACATGATTATCACACTGAGTGGTGTGATCAAAGATTTTATTTACAAAACAATTGCTAAAACATCCGATGTCATATTTCCATTTATTTCTTACCCATAGGGTAATAGGTCCACCATAATTGCTTGGTGCATTTTATAATACAGAAAGAAACCCTATGTTAATCTCTAACAAACCTCACAAATTGCTACCAATCTGACAGAAAAATGCCTACGAAAAAATTTTCCAAAAGTACAATACATTTTTTTATTTCCACACATACACAGTATAGTATAGGCTCAAAGGCACAGCTTTGAAATTTCTTTTTTCTCTCAAAGTGTCGGAAATTTTTATAGTCTTATGAAGGAACCATGAAAGTCATTTTCACACTTGGTGCTTGGTAAGTTAACGCTTGGCCCGTTCAGATTCACAAAGTTAATACAGCAGAGCTGAGTGTGATACTCAGTGCCACAAATCCACATTCTCACACCACTTAAAGACCCTCTCCTGCCTTCTGCGGACACTAGCCATTGTGCAAACTTAGGACAAATACTTGCCTGTAGAAGGGCCAGTCCCCTACAGACCTCCCACCGACTTAAGGCATAGGAGCAGGCCTCCTCCTTCCCTCTAGAGAGTGCTGACATTCCAAGACAACGCCCGGTACTGAGACGGATGTGAGTGGGACGGGGAGTCTGGGGTTTCCAGACCCCTCCGTGGAGCCCCGGTGTTCCAGGAAGTAGTGAGGACCTCACCAGGAGGAAGGGACGCGTAGAGCATATCTGAGGGCCATTCAGGGTAAGCGCAAGAGGACAGAAAGGTGGCAAGATGGATGTTCTTGGTAAATTATGTGCCCATCCAAGAACGCAAACCAGATTCTGTCTCCGGTCTCCATCCTTCAAGACTAAAGAGCTTTTGTCAACAGGACAAACAAGGAGCTTATTGGGCGTGGTGGCCAACACAAAGGAAAGTCATGGAACAGAGGGAAAGGCACAGCTTGGCCTGCCCAGTTATAGTGCTCTCTCGAAAGAGTCAAGTCTGGCTTGGCTACGGGAACCCAATCTCACTGACTTTTAGCGGGGCCCATTTCTGCACTAAAGTTTATCCATCCCGTACCGAATCCCAGCCTCACTTTCATTAGGAAGATGGCAGCCTAGGAATAAGAGTCCATGAGTTATGATATACACAGATAAAGTCGTCTGGGGGATGGGCATTGGGGGCTTTTATTATTATTATTAATAATTATTATTAATATTAAATACGGATTTCTATGATAGCAGTCATTTAGCCCATCCCGTGGAGGCCTCTCCGTTGATGTAAGCAAAACCAGGAAAGTGTTGCATGTGCTCATACTCGGAATTCCTGCGCGTGGTCAGGGGCGTGTACATGTCACTAGAGTTTCCGTACCTCGTGGAGTGCACAGACGGGCTCGTGTAGCACGTGTTGGCTGTGGGCACCTCTGGCCAGCGGGGGGTGACCGGGGTAGGATGCAGCCTGGGAGTACTGCTCATCAGACAAGGTTCCATCCGGGAAGTGGGGCTATTGAAAGGGTACTTGTTGAAGGGAAAGAAATTCCACAAAGTTAAAATTAGCTTGGAGTTGCAAATACACAAGACAGTCATGTTCACAGTCGGTTTTAAGTTAACTTTCTCAAGATGCTCTGAGAGAGTTCATGGAAAGGCGTCACCGAACTTCTCAGAGCTTGAACCTTGGTCTAGGCAGCAAGCAACAGGAGAAACGCAAAGGAAGACCCACAGTGCGCTCCTAATCTGGGAAATTTGGGGAAGTCAAGCCCCAAAAGAGAAATAGCCACCCTGGGAATACAGGGGGGAGAGAGAGTGAACGTGCCCCTCTAGCTCTGGAGGGATTGATGGTTGTGCGTTTCGTCCTCGGTTATGGAGATGTGACAGGTCCCACACTCCATCCTCCCGCGAGAACAATACTGCCAGGTAAAACACAATGACATTATTAAAAATAGCATTTTACAGTTGAATTCAATTATGAACTGCAGCCTGAAAGCCGGCTTTTGAAGAGGAAGCAAGTCAACAGCTTCAAAGGTTATTATTAGTGCCTATCATTTAGAGAACAGCTCTCTTTTTGGTTCACATTCACTCCAGCCCCAGAAGATGCACAAGTAGGAAATGGTAAATTACCAGGCTTGATGCAAGCGTGGAAGAAGGAGTCAACATAAGCCAGCTGAAAGGAGAGGGAAGAGGAGCTGCTGAGCAGGTCAGGAAAACAGGTGTTAGTGACTACAAGAGGGGGGAAGCAGCCGAGAAAGAATTAGGAATCAGAGAAGTGCCCCCAAGTGCTGCTTCTCTTACATTCTTCTCCGTTGCCAAGACAGCTATGCAAATCAGCCCCTTTTAGTACCGTCAGAGGGGAGGAAGGGGAGGAGCTCCAGGCCCCCTCTGAGAGCGGGAGTCTGCAGGCCAGGCCACACAAAGATGCCCTTGCCATCCGTCCTGTCCCCAGCAAGGACAGGAGCCGGTCCAGAAGGATGGCTAGGGCAGCGAGGAGGACAGTGTGTGTGTGAATGTGTGAATTCTTCTGCTCCCCATCTGTCTTCCCTGACAGTTGGAGAGTGGAGCCCGGAGGGATTAGGTGGGAGGCTGCCTCCTGTGAGGGAGACAGCCTGGCTGAAGCCTAGACAGCCGCCGGGCTGGAGGAGAGGCTGTGATAACAATGGCTGCTCCCCGTAGTGGAGGGGGGACCAGAGGAAGCCATTCTGCTTCTTTGAGTGGGAGCCCGAGGGGAGCTCAGGAAGGGTGTCTCTCAGGCCCAAAGCGGGCAAAGAGAACCAATTCATAAGGCAAGAGAGGGGGGCCCAACTGCCAAGAGTGAGGCGTTTTTTTACCCTGTGCACGGCCACGTGCCTCCCATAGCAAAGTGAGGCCACTTCACAGTCAAAAAAAAAAAAAAAAACAGGTAGGAAAGCAGGCAAAGGGTGTGGGGTGGCATCCGGGACTCGAGGGAGAAGGCACCAAGGGCTGTTGCCAAGGGGACCAGAACGCGCACCGAGGCGCTCATCATTCCCAGTCCAATCAACACTTAAGCACCCCCGTGTGCTCTGCAGTGTGGGGATGGGGAGGACGCTGTTTGTAGGGTAGCCACGGGTGGAGGGGTGGGGGGACTCGGCCTGAGCAGTAGGGTGCTAGCAGGACTTACTCTAAAGCCCAGAGAGACTCAGCAGTTTGGGCCCTGTCCAAGAAGCAGGATCCCAGCTGTGTGACACGGAATATTAAGAAGTTTTACAAAGTAGTCCGTAAGTTTTAAAAAGAGTCTGCTTCCCCTCCTGATAGTGTCTCAGTACGCTCCCTGGATGCCTGCACGGGGGCACACAGGCCTGCTCTCTGGTCCTGTGGCCTGCCAAGCTGCTTCCCATCTCCGGAGAGGGTGTCCGGCCTTCACCACCCAGCCCCTCCAGCCCCCTCACGGGCCTGCTGTTGTGCTCATGCTCCGGTCATGTTCCGCTCAAATCTCACCTCAGCAACTGTCTCCTTTGCACGGGGTCAGGTTCATCCTAAGCCCCCGCGGGGTTGTGCCACGTTGGCCACCACATTCCCACTGTCTAGAATCACGCCTGTCAGCAGGTGCTGCGCAACTGTCTGGTGAACGAACCCTGGGATGTTGCCACTAAGGGAAGGTTTAGGGTCGTGTTCTCCAACCCTCTGACATACAGATGGGAAGCCAGGGCCCACGAGCCTAAGGGCCCTACCCGATCGTGGGCCAGTGGGAGAGCTGGCGTGTGAGTCTGTCCTGGAGTAGTTTTCTCTGCCACGCTTCCTTCAAGCTCTCTCCTCCCCTGCAGGGCGGCGCCAGCCCTTTCTCGTCTGACCTGGCCTCAGCTTGCTGGCTCTGACGAGTCCTTGCTCGCCTTGCTTTGTGCAGGTAAAACGTCCCAGTGTGGGCTTGGGGCCTCCTGCCCACAGCGCCCCAGAGAGTGTGGCTTTTGTGCCTAATCCAGGACCCTCGATGCAGCTGTGCCCAGGAGTTGTGTTACAGACTCAGAAGAGTAATTGCCTGGAAATGAGACGGGCTCAAAATATCTCCAATGTGACAATAAAATTCTGTTACCACAGAATCCGGCATGGAAAGTTCTGTCCTGTTAGGTCAGCTAATTGCAAATGAGTCAGTGACTCGCTTTCCCCATGGTGAAGAGGCCATTGAAAGACGAGAGACCGAGTGCCCACGCCTGGGCCTGGCGATGAAAGCCACCAATGAAGCTTCTATTTAGGCTGGCAGGAGCGGCCGGGGCGGGCCCCTGCACCCGCCTCACCTTTCACACCCCACATCCGGCTTCATGCGGGGTCCCAAAGCAGGCCAGGCATAGACCCCAGGGTCCAGAGAGCTCTGTCCAGAATAAAGGCGCCTTTTGTTGAGGGCCCGTAACAGGAAGTGGCCATTTTCTAGGTCACGTCACACGCAGTTGCGGGGCATGCCAACGTGGAGCTGGAGGCGCCGGGCCCCCCCCCCCAGGAGGTGTGTGAGGGGTGCCTGTGCACCCATGCGTGTGCCCGCACTTGCCCATGTGGTCAGAAGGTCCTGTCTGACGGCCCTGGCGTGAGTCCATCTCCGCCGTGATTGACCTTGGGCCTCCTTGGAACCATATTAGGAAGTTCTATTTTGAGAAGCAACTCCCCGGCGCTAAGGCCTGACTTTCCTGCCCACGGAAAGGGAAGAATGAACCCTTTATCCCTGACCCTTCCCAAAGGGGCTCCTACTTGAGCAAGAGGTGAAAGGTGGCCCAGTCAGGGGCACAAACTATTTTCCTATGAAAGGCGGCTCTCACCGCACCCAACTTCTGCCAGCGGGCCCACCCCAGCCAGCCTTCCCGTGGGCCTCTCCGGGAAGAGGACGAGCTCCCCAATAGCCCGTCAGATAATTCAGATTTGCTGTGCTTCTAGGGCCGGGGTCAACTGGAGAAATGTCTGTGCAGCACTCTGAGCTCCTGTGTACAAAGGGCCTGAAACGTGTTAGCCAAACACTGATACCCTTTGTAGACTCAGGAACGTGGTCCACTGACTATAGGGAGAGCCTGAAAGATGGCCGACCGTGTGGGTCGACGACTCCTGCTACAGATGAGGGAAGGGCCTGCTTGAGGTCACACAGCAACTTAATACCAGAGTAAGGCTCCCTTCATCCACTCATTCATTTCACTGACGAGTGCCAGCGCACAAGCCAGGCCCTGTTCTAACCTCTTTAAATCCCCTCACCTTCACAGCAGCCCGAGGAGTAGGAACTATAATTATCCCATTTGTCAGAGGAGGAAGTCGGAGGCAAAGTGGGGATTCGAACTCAGGAAGCCTGCCTCTGCACTTGAGAAACCTCACACCACTGTGACTGAGTGACTTCGATTCCCTGTGGCCCTGGGGACGACCCCAAAGTGGAGCATCCTCAGCAGACCTGTGGCCGTCACTGGGCCTCGAGACGGCGGACTCCTGACCCCGGGCTGGGCAGGGTGCTGGAGAGTTTGCAAATGTGGTGACGCTGACAGGCAAGGCTGAGCATTGGCCACACAGAAAGGAAGGAGGAATAGCTTCCTAGTCCACACTAAGGTGTTTTAGCTTCTGGTTGGTCCCACGGCTTTGGAGATCAAGGACCCGGTTCACAATCACGGTGCGGACAGGGCCGGTGGGGGCGGTTCCACAAACATGTTGAATGAAGCTCAGAAATGTTTTGGAGGTGAGAATTTGGGTCTGGGTTGTTTTCTCTGTCTGGTCAGGCATTAGGATAGGAAACCCCAAGAGGGGCAGCCTGACATCACCCCCTGCTCACTTTGGCATGGACAAGTGCAGCACAGTTGCCGGAAGGGTGTTTTTCCTGAAATAACTCAAGACTTGACTTGGTGGAACCTCATTCATCTGGATTCACTATCTCAGAAATTATGAGACTCCAGGCAGGGCTGGAGGTGCCCCTTTGGGTTTCCCAGGAAGAAAGCACGCGTCGTGCAAAGAGACAGCATACACAGAGGCGCACACCTACTCTATTTCAAAAAGCAAATCACTTCAAATTATTGGCAGCACCTGCGCTCGGGTGAGCGGGAGCCACGACAGCATTTGGCAGGTGTGTGCTGCCAGTTTTCTAAGGCAAGCGTGGCAGCATTTTGGGGAGAAGTTGGTTTCAGCGACTCTTGTGTTGGAAACTCACTGCATTCTTTAACCCCGTTCTCTAATCGTGACTTTCCACAATTCAGGCTGATCTTTCCCCCAGTGACTCTGCCGTGATGGAGTGTCCTGTTCACTCCTTGGGACTGGAACAGCTTGACCTTTGCTCTGGAAAACTAAAACTCATCAGCCCCGCTGCGGATTTTCCCTTCATGCTCAACCTTAAACCAAAGTGCCAAGAAAGGAAGGAAATCGGGTGTCTTGGGTTTCTTTCTCTTTGGTAACATGAAACTTACTGAGAATATTCACAGTCACCTCTTGAATTTACCTCCGCCCGCCTAGCCCACACAGGTGTAGCAATGTTAGCACCGCCAGCTTGGGGGGTAGAGCGGGAGATCTCACACTGGCGTCTGCCGGGGCAAAGGACCTGCTGAGGCTGCTTCCCTCCCCCCGCCCCCACCACCATCCTTAAAAATCTAGAGGAAAAATGTTTTCTTCCCGAGGTTGCTGTGAGAATTAAGTGAGTTTGTGTATTTTGAAAGTGTCGGAAACAGTGGTTGGTGCATAAGTGTTAGAACAAAAGAGAAGATTCTTGGTCTTTAGACAGTATCTTCCCCGGGAGAAGCACGGACCTCAACCTGGGTAGGGATGTGATATGACTAGCTTCTCCCCATCCTACTTCACAAATGGACCTAAGGACAGTGTGTGTGTGTGTGTGTGTGTGTGTGTTAGGGGTCAGAGGTTGTCAAAGGACCTTGTCCCAGGGCCACAGGGCATGAAGGTCAAGAAGGTTTCCAGAGCCGAGTTGGCTCTCCCATCAAGTCTGGACTCAGAGGGCTCCTCCACGGGTTGCCTTTAGTCCTCGGCCCTTCGATGAAGGCCAGCTGTGCCATGAGTGTGCTGGGGACTGTTGCGGCTTCCAGAATGGATGCTGCAGGTCTACCTTAGATCACCTTGGCCTTTGTGGGTCTTTAGGAGACCCTGGCTTCTTTTTACAGCAATGGTTTTACAAAGACCACCCCAGACAATCAGTTCCAGAAATTTCACGAGGAGGGCTGAGGGGATGAAGGGAGAGGAATAACGCTTGGAGCTGTGACTTGGGCTGTAAGGCCCATCTGGCCACAGATGTCTAGACTAGTGCCCCCTACTGGAGGAATCGCTCCCAGGCCAGCCACACTGCTGTCTCCTGTGTACTCCCAGTTACTAGCGAAGTGCTTGCCACCCAGCAGGCACCCACACTCATTCCAGGAATGAATGAATGAATGAATGAACGAGTTGCTTAGACTTGTTAGGTGCAACCCAGGCTACAGCAGCTCGAAGTCCTTCAGCCGGTCGCACTGCGGAGCGCAGGCTCGGTCCCCAGGAGAAGCAGCACCTAAGGAGCTGGCTTCTCCCCGTGACGCAGCTGGAAGCCTAGAGTGAAAGCCCCAGGTGATGATTTAGTGGAATCAACTTCTGGGCTTGTCTGGGGACTATACTGGGGATCCCCTGGGTGCTCCAGATGGAAATCAAAACAGACTCCTGTTTGCCCTGCGTGCCTGGATATTGTGGATACATTCTCCTTGGTGCCCTCCCTTGGAGGGAAGTCTGTGTGCCAACAGCTGATGTAATTGGGGCCTCCACCTTAACTCAAGTCCTGCTAGCTCTCTTCCAGACTCCCTGACAGTCCCCTTCCTGGTTCATCTGAGTGTCCCCGCGCCACTCCCTGGCTCAAAACCCTGCCTCGGTGCCCCCCCATGCCTGCAGAATGCAGTAAGCATCCCCTGCAGCACACCCCACTGCTCTGCTGACCCCAGCTCTTGTCACTCAGCTGCCCAGTAATCCTTAGTGCAGGCTGGCATATGTCAGGGGACAGGGTGCTGACCAAGAGCCTGAGTAGAGGGGCTGACAGTGGCTGGGTCCAAATCCCTGGGAGAGTTACGCCCACGTCCTTTTCTGCAAGGGCTACGCGAGGAGGTGTAAAGTGCTTACTCAGAGCCTGGCACGTGGCAGCTGTTCAGTAACAGGCACTGCACTTTTTGCTAGAGGCTGCATCGTGTGACCTGGGGACACTAGACTTCATTTGCCTTCAGGGTCTTTGGGGTCTCCCAAGGGAGTCAGGCAAATCAGTGATGACAGCAGGCAAAGTGTTACTAACAGGAGAAGTCTAGGCTGCCATGCAAGGCAGGAGGAGAGGCCCTTTGTAAGGCCCTGGAGGAAGGCAGGAGATGCCGCCAAGACAGTGAAATGCTCACCCCGAACACCAGGCAGGAGAAGCTGGAGAAGAGAACCCCAGTCCAGGGAAGGAGATCTGTGAAGATGTGGGGGACACATATGAGCCTCATGGCTGGCCAGAAAGGCAGGCAGAAGCTGGGTGGCAAAGAGTCTCGTGAGACAAGCTAGGAGACTGGACTTGACCTCAAAGCAAGGATGTGCCCAAGGGGAGGATGTGGTGGTCATCAGACTTCAGAGACCAGCAGGAAGGCTGTGGTCATCCACTGGGCTGGAGAGAGACCTGCACTGAGGCCAGGCCAGCGGGAAGGCGGAGATGCAGAGGATGCAAGCTGAATGGAATGGTGAGCAGCTGAGATTGGGGTTCACGCACAAGAGAAAGCATAAGACGAGGCGCACACATGACTGTGGCACTACAGGCGCAACCGCCACCTCTATCCACCACAGGCCACGCGGGAGATTTGCTCTGTTGGACAGAAGGAGCCAAAGGAGACAGGCAGCCCAACTTGGAGCTGGTACAGGGTCCACTTCAGAAGGATTCTTAGGATGAGATTTTGGGGGACAAGAGGTGCTGGGCTGAAAGGGAACGGGGGTGGGAGGCTGAGAGATCAGCTAGGCTGAGGCCAAGAGAAAGGTCTCGACAGGGCTCCAGAGGAAGGGTCGGCGCCAGGAGGCTGGAGATGGGGAAGGGGCCGCCGAGGAAAGGGCTGACTGGACCCTGAAGAGAGAGGGCAGAGAGAGGACGGAACCAAAGCGACTGGTTAGCACCCCGGTTCGTGAGCACGCGGAGAGCTGAGCACCCCTGTCTGTCTGGGAGAGGGCAAGATGCCGAGCAGAGGACCGTCCTCTCCCGGGGGACCCTCGGGCTGCCCGCAGTGTGCAGAAGGTGCTTATTAACCGTGTCGAATGGCCCGGGCGGCTCGCGGCCTCCGACTCACCTGCGCGGAGCTCCTGTGGTACGGGGAGTAGTGGAGGGGCCCCGAGATGGCCGCGTCGTGGGGGAGGGCCGGGTACTGGCTCTGCATCGGGTGCGGGTGCTGGTTGCCATAGCTCCCGTAGTTGTAGCTCCCCGAGTATCTACAGCACACGGAGCACGTGGGACACTGAGTGACAGCAGGGAGGACCCACCGGGCGACCACTGCCTCTGCTCCTCCCCCTCCTTTTGGTCCTTTTTCACCGCCCCCCCCCCCACTTTTCTTCTTTGCGGTCCTTGTCACCTCCAGCCTGTGGCTCTGTTGTGGCTTAGCTCAAACTCCCAAGACGGTCTTCCCTTTCCCCTCAGCACCGCCCGGCACAGTCCCTGGTCTCCCAACCAGCGCCCAGAGAACCCCAGCCAGCCCTGAGCAAAACATAATTAGTGATGAAACCTCTGCGCTCCTGCTGTGTTGAGACGCCCCATCTTAACAGCCTGAAGCCAAAGGAGGGGCGTGGGGGGAAGAGAAATTACTTTGGGATTTATGTTTTCGTATGGTTCAGGCCTCTGCTCCCCATGACGGGGACGGACGCAGCACCTGCTGGGCAGGCGGCCCCAGGGCCCCGGCGGGGGGCGGGTGGTGGTAGCCTGGGTGCCCCACATCTGGCCGAGGGACCTCGGGCTACTCACAAACTGCCTCTCACATCTGTCAGAACGCTGCCCGTGGTTATCCGAGGGCCCCTATGTGGAGACTCTCTAAGGTAGAACGTTCTCATGGAAACCTGGGATATAATCACGGTTCCTCTTAATGGCAGCTTTTACAGCTCAGACGCTGGCACAGGACCCTGGGGTGTCTATGCCGCCATCGCTGCAGCATCAAAACGCTCTCTGAACCAGCTTTCAAAGTCTGTTCTAAAAGTATGGAAAAACACTCTAAGAAGCCCCCGAGGAGATAAGGGCTGCCCTCCTGGCTGGCCACCTGAACATGGCAATGACCACGAGGATGCTGAGAGCCGCCTGGCAGCATTTTGCTGGGTCCCCTCCGCAGCAGGTCTGTGGGGCCCACACCCCCAAGGCTCACGGCTGAGCAGACACTGCACAGCAGACACGGGAAGGTTCACGTCTCCTGATAAAGACAATGCCCCACAGCAGGAAGCCCCTCTGCTTCAGGCTGCACTTTAAATGGACATGTTTATTCATCCCGGCACTAGGTAGGTTTCAGAAAGGTACGGGCAAAATAAATGATTTATTTATTCCGGGTCCAGAACACGACTGAAACCCACAGGGGTTCCCTGAACCCCACTCCTAACTTCCACCCTCCTGAGACCTCCGCCCTTGTTGGGGAAGCCGTAGTTTCAACGAGTCATAAAAGATGAGACCTACCTGGTGCTTCCAAGGCCACAGGGGCACGAGAGCCACCTGGGGGAAGCCCCGGGCAGGTGGTGAGCCGAGGCTTTCCAGACGTTGCGGGGAAGAGCGCAGGCTCTAGGGGCAGACGGGTGGCCCCACCCCACCGTTGACCAGCGGTGTGACTCTGGGGCACTGAACACACCCACCCAAGTCTCAATGTCCTCATGGGTAAAGCGGGGCTACCCATACCTACCTCGCCCAGGTGCCCTGGGGATCAGGTGAGAAATGACATTCAGGGTGGAAGTGAGTGCACTGTGAGAGTGCGGCCAGAGGTGGCGCTGGTCCCCTGCCCGAGCACAAGCTAAGTAAACCCTGCTCTTTAAAATCGGACTTCGAAGTAAGGCACCTACCCGTGCTCCTCTCTGTGGGGATAGACCGGTATCCTGTGTGTGACAGAGGAGGAGGGCACATGGGTACTCCTCATACAGGGCAGCTGCTGGGAGTTCTCGGCCGGGGACCCCGCCGTTGTCACTGTGTACGTGAGCGACCACGTGTATGACTGCATCGCCCCTGCAGAGACAAATCAAGATGCATCAGTCACCCCCAGTTCTTTCTTACAATACTTTAGTGGCTCCCCACTGTTCTCAGCTGAAGGCCACGGTCTTCAGACCCTGGCCGTGCTGACTGGACTGTACCGGAGCAGCCCCCTCCCTCTCTGCCTTGGTTCTGCCTGGTCCACAAACTCTTATGATTTTTTTTCTAGGGTGCCAAGATTCCCAGCACCACAGGGCCTTTGCACATGCTGCTTCTGCTGCTTGGAACCCTCACTCTTAGTACCCACTCATTCTTTATATCTCCAAAGAGAAGAGCTGTCTCCCAGCCACAGCCTGGGTCAAGACCCACACTGTAGTGTAGATTCGGTCTGTTGGAATCTCTCCTTCATGGTTCCTACCACAACGTATAATCTTACACCCATTCATGAATATGATTAATGTCTATTCAACCCTCCCCCCACTCCCGGAACACCAGCCTGTAAACTTCATGAGGGTAGGGGTCTTGCCTATTTTGCCCACCATTGGATGCCACTGCTTAGCACAGAGTCTGGTGGCCTAAGACTTTCAGTAAAAAAATTTAAAAAAAGGGAAAGATAGAAAGAAAAAGGAGGGAAGGAGAGGGAACAAAAGCAAGCTCCAGGCAGCGTACTCAGGCAAATGACTTCCCAACACCCCACTCAACAGGTGTTAAGGATCCAACAAATTGCTCTAAGCAAACATAAGTAGATTATTGGGCTCTGCCTGTTCAGGTCTTTTTGAAGATTATTAGACAGTGACCTTAACGGCGACCTATTCCATACATACTATTAATTCCATTAATTTGATTTTTAATTGGATACCTTGAAAGTGCTAGGGACCGGGAAAAGAAACTTGCAAAATTTGAAACCCTCAAGATGCTTAAACAATTTTATGAATTTGTTAGACTAAAAAATGGTAGTTTAAGAAAATCATTAATGATGAAGATAAACTTATCAACTTGACTTCTGAAAAGTTTAGAATGTTGATATGGTAGAAATAATTAAACCTAATTTAGAAGGCAGAGGGAATAGGATTTAACACCCCCTACTAGGCACTTGAAAAACTGAAGAATTGGAGGCCACCTTTAAGGTGAAAGAAAAAGAAAACTTGGTCCTCTAATTCTGTATTTTCTTTCTTTCTTTCTTTTTTTTTTTTTTTAAAGATTTATTTATACAAGCACTGGGTACAAGTCAGAAGCAGGGGAGGGTGAGAGAATTCACCAGAGCCAGAGTGGAAAGCAGAACAGGCAGACTGACGAAATACACTGCTGAGGGGAGCAGCGGACGCGGCAGGAGAGGTCTGCGCGCCATGTGGGACGCTCGCCGGCGGTGATTTTGAACCGGCGCTGCAGAGGCTGTGGGCAGCTTTGCAACCCAGCGCACAACCGCTGCGCCACTGGGGAGGCCCCTAATTCTGTATTTTCTTCAGCAGAAAATGCCTATCTTAAGAATCCCCTGAGGAAAAAAAAAGATTTTTTTTTTTTTAACTTTAGAAATTCAGTCCATTCCATGCCAAAAGTTTGCAAATAGCATGTGATAACAGCTGCGCTGGCTTGGAGTGGCAGGGGAAGCAGAGCTGTTGGGTCAGCACGGTGCCAGCTCTGTGGCCTCTGCCCATAAGGAATAGCCTTGAAGGTATGTGAAAGCGGAGTCATGACTTAAATACAGCTTCTATTAAAACAACTATGTGTTGAACCCTTTTGTAAAATGGAGACTCTTTTGGAATGCAAATAATGTCCTTTTTTAAAGGAAGTGACAAAGGTTCATTCCAGAGCATGAAAGGAGATATTATCTTTTGAGCATCTGATATAGTCCATTTATAGATAGGCACGTCATAGGTGAGGAAACTGAGTTAAATCTAAAAGAATTTAAGGGAGGATATAGGACCATAGGAGAGTCTAGAAGATATTGTGAAAGTGGGAATGAAAGGAATTAAAACAAAATTGGAGCACAAGGCACCATCAGGAACGAGGTGAAATGTGTGTACCCTGAAGGCCCAGATTCTTCCTAAAGTGGGTCTTAAACTTGGTTGATTTTTCCAGTAGCCAATGTGGAGAGGGGAACCTGACAAGAGTGACCCAATAGCTCAGGAGTACACTACCTTGGAATTAAGCTCAGTTTCAGATGCCTTCAACTGTGAACTGCTCAGCGGCTCCTCAACAGCACCCTTACAATGGACTCTGTGTCTGCATTCTCAGGACTGTTCCCTCTGACGATACTAACTTCAGCCTAATGACATCACACAAAGTCTATTCCAGGAAAACTGAGAATCTTAAATAGCTTAGGCCCGCGGTGAAAGGCTGGCCCAGGGGGACCAGCGTCCCAGCCTACCACACCCTTTCCACTCGCTCTACCATAATGTCTCTTTGCTCTGGATCCTGTTTCTGCTGCACACTAGCTGACAGACCTTTGGCAAGCCTCTTAAATATCACGAGCCCTTCTTTCACCATCTGTAAAACAGGACTACTATGATCTATCTTGTGGGACTGTTGTGCGATTGACTGAGAGAACATATGTCAAAGAACCAGGTGTATGGCGGGCTGGCAATGCTCTCCCAGAGCCCTTCATCATCAGGTATTCTGGTGTCAGACCTCCTTAAGCAGAAATGTCATTCCATTTTAGATCCCAAGAAAGAAAGACAAGTCCTGGGTCACATTCTGTCACCAGGGATGAAATGTTTGAAGAACAATGGTAATTTATCTAATTATAGCAAACTTCTGAACATGTTTACCTATAAGATCACAGCTCTTTGATTTTTCATTTTCCACCATTATGGCCAGAAGTACCTCTTTCTGGTTGCACAACTCCCCAACCCTGCACTGTCCCCCATCCAAACCCTCCCCCCATAATGACTAGCAGGCCATGTGCTAGGCATCATTCATAATAGTGCACCAAGACTCAGAGGAAGATCCTTCAAATGAGTGTGTCTTCAGTGGACTGCATTTTGCATGTTTACCTTCTCTGAATTTTGAACTGCATGTGGAATTGGATTACTGTTATAATTTTTTAAAATGCCCTTTTAATAAAACAGGTTATCTCTGGGTCATGGAATGGAGGATGGCTTTAAAATTTTACAGTTTTTCTTATCTGTATTTTCCTAAAATGAATGTGGATTGCCTCTATATAAAAGAAAAACATTATTAAAATATATTAAGCACATTTTACAATTGGAAATGGATTGGGGGTAGAGGGGGTGGGAAGTTTGGGAGAACAATGCACCCACCACAGCAAGCAAGTAATTAACCCTTCAAGCCTTTGGGACCTCAGGAGAGCACAGGGAGGTCAGTGGGTATTTAAAGGGGGGCAGCTAAGGAAGCCAAAGGATTTTCTTTTTTTTTTTTCCCCCAAGCAATGGGAGGAGGCAGTGATAACAGCCATCACCTGCGAGAATGCAGCAGACGTTACTTTTGTGTGAGCTCCTGGAGCACAGCAACTGTTCCTTATTCATCTCTGTAGCCCCAACAGAGGGGCTGCCAAATAGTAGGTGTTCAGTAAATTTTTGTTCCATTGAATTTGTTGTTGAAGGAGTAAATGCTGCTGGAAATAGACGTTATCAAACAAAAAGCTAGTGGAACTCTTGGAAAAATGGGCTCCTGTGGTCTGGGAAACAAAACCCTAAGTGGCCATGTGCCAGCAATCTAACAGACCCACTCAGGCAGGCTTAAGCAGATTAACACCTACTGGCTTGGGTGAGAAACCCTTTCTGCCTGGGGAGCAGAAAAGAACCCCGCTTGCATTCCCTTTCCTACCAGTGGGACCTCCAGTGAGAACTGCTGCTGCTGCTTTTTAAAACTAATAAAAGTCTGTGCAGTTAACAGTTTGTGCTTAATTTTTAAGACAGCTCTAACGCTTTTGTTTTTTTGTTGTTGTTGGGAAAACAATAACAAACCTTCCCTATCTGTCTAATTTCTCTCTATTATTCTCTCCTGCCCAGTCCCTGGTCCCTATCTAAAAGTCTAAGAGTTGTGGAAACCCCTGATCTTTGAGAATCCTATACAGATCCTATAGCATTTGAGAGTCCTACAAAGGTGAGTGGCTGTCCATATTATAATGTTGACTATTTTCTTTCCTTCCTCTCCCCTACAAACCATGTTTTCTTCCCCGAGGGTCCTCCCACGGCCACCCCAGAGGTTTTTTTTTTTTGTTTTTTTTTTTTTAAATAATAAATTTTATTTTTATATTCCCCCATACAATTGCAAACGCCCCATTCTGACCCCAATCCTTCCCCTCCCGCCCCCCACCCCCCAAAAAGTGTCTCTGGTTCATAGTTTTTTGTTGATTTTGATTTTCACTTTCTTATATTCATTTTCCTGGTCCCTTATTTAAGTTTTCTAGATTCCTGCTATGAGTGAGACCATCCGGTATTTTTCTTTTTCTTTTTGGCTTATTTCGCTGAGCATGATCCCTTCCAGCGCCATCCATGTTGCTGCAAATTGCATGTGTTTATCTTTTTTGAATGCTGAGTAATATTCCATGGTATATATGTACCACATCTTCTTGATCCAGTCATCTATTTTTGGGCATTTGGGTTGTTTAGAGGTTTTAAACACAGGGCAGGAAGGCTGCTTGAAACATCAGTCAGTAAGTAAAGATGTGTTGAATGAACGAATGATCAACATAAATCAGACCTCATTCCCGTTTCTTTCTACACTTTGACTCACTGAATAGTCTTTTGAGGTAGAGGGCATGATCTCCTTTTCCAGGTAAGAACACCGAGGCCCAAAACTTGCTCAGGCAAATGGCAGAGCGGGGATTTGAGCCGAGATCCGCCCAACTCTGCAGCCTTCCCACCACCAACAACTGCTTCTCACACTTGAGTCTGCGATTCCGGTACAACCCTGTGAAAATTTAGGCTGCTCCACTTGGACTACATCCCCTGAACATTTTCTCCACTACAATTCAACCATCACAGACGTTGCTGAGGTTTTGAGCAAACCCAAGTCCTTGCTAGTACCCTCCTGAGAATAAACTCTGTTAAGTATGTCTGGGTTGCAGAGCT